AAAACTGATCTCCTGAGCCACATCACTCTTTAGGTAAGAAATGAGAGCACCTGTTCAGCGGGTGGTTTTATTATTGTTGTGGTTGGGCTGGGGAAACAGACGTCATTAGGCTTTGTCAGTCCAAGAACACAATTAAAAACCTTCTGTGAATTTAAAGAAAAAAAAGGTTTGTAAGAAGAACGCAAGCTCCTTGAAGGGCCAACCTGATAGGCCTGCATCTCTCCTCTGAGGCCATCCCTGTGTGTCCCCATGTCACAGTAAATCAGCTCAGCTCTCCCATCCAGCCTGGAAGAGCAAAGGGCCAAAGCAGAGGGGGCAGGTGTGCCGGAGAGAGGAGTCTCAGAAGCCGCTCAGCAGGCAAAGAAGCGGTGGTCAGCGGAAGGCGCACAGGTGAGCCCAGCAAACAACCCAGTAAGCCAAAGAGGTGGAGGCTCCCACTCCAAGACCCTTCAGAAGGAATCATGAATTTCTTTAATCAGCTGATTTCCTCTGGTGACTAAAAGGCCTCATTTAGCAAGACCTGTTCTGGGCTGAAATTGAATAGGTTTAGTTGACAAATGCTTGAATTTGGGTTCTACTGCAGGGGGAGAGGAGGGCAGGAGTCCAGCTGTACCAGCTTCTCCAATGCAATTATGAGGAAAACACATTTTAAGGGCTCTTCTTCCAATTCAGTCTGGAGGCAGGTCTTGACTTTTCTCCTGATCCCTTCCCAGACCCAACACACATACACACACACACACACCTGCACATGCACACATACACACACGCACACACATGTGTACACACTTCGCCCATGGCCGAGTTGGCTTTCTTTCAATGAAGAAAGGCTGCAGGGCCCCAGATGAAGCAGTTGTCAGGCACTGAAGCTCTAATCAGCTTTACTCAGCTCACAGCCCATAAAGGACACGGCCCCTCTTCCTAGAGTAAGGTACCCTCTCAGCTACTGGCCCTGGGATCAAGGGTAGGAGTGGCTTCAACTGGTGTCATCTTCCTTACCCACAAGCTGCATGCCCAGCTTAACCTGGTCCATGCCAGGGCTCTGCATATGCATAGCACAGAGCCTCCTGTAACAATTCCAGGTCTCGGCTCCAACTACGTGGTCACATGTCACCCCCAGCATGATTTATCAGGACAGTCGATCGATGAGACAGTCAACAGAAAAGTTAAAACACAACTCAAAATGGGTTTTTGCAGGCGAGTCTGAAATGCTACACGATTGCTAGTTAAGAACAGTATCCCTTTTCTCAATCTAAGTGGTATACCCCCTTCTCTTCACCAGCATCACAAAGGGAATGCCCATGTAATTTGGAAACTAAGATGATACAGGGAGGCTGCTCAATCCCCAGGGATGGCCAGAGACAGGGGCTCTCTAGGCAGGTGGGCTGTTTCAGGGACTGGACAACTGACCCCTCCCATGGCCCCAAATGGCTATTGTCAAATAGATATGGACTAGATGAGATTAAAGCAACCATATCTGTACCAACAAAAAGGGAGGGGGCAGGGGCGGAGTAAAAGAAAAGGCATTCACTCAAATCTTACAATGGGAGGTGGGGGTGGGTGAGGCTGGGGATAGAGAAGCGAGGGGATCTAAACAGCAGGATACGACAATAAATGGGAAAACAGCAAGAGAAAAAGCACACTAGGTTAATATAGGAAAAACTAGTTCTTTATTGAGAGATTGTATATTAGTATTAGTGGATTCTGTGTGTAACAATGTCATCATGCACACGATACAAAAAAAAAGGCTGGGCCACCATGCTTCGGAAGGGCAACAGAACAAAAGCAGCGTACAATGAGCAGATGGCCCGGGGCTACACGACCACAGTACGGTTCAGCAGGGTACATCTCTAACCGAGCGCTGTACATTGTCAACTGGGGGGATGTAAAAAAATACAGATCATGCTTTAGTTTTAGTACAAGAAAAGGTGAAAAAGATACACAACCAAAAGGATATTTGATACAGAAAAAATTACCCACAAAATAAGAACAGGAAGTAATTCGGCACAGCAGAACACGCTACCCCTGTTTAATGGAAAACCATTTTGCTGGGATTCTTTTCGGTTTTTGTTCTTTTCGTTTTTTAACCTCTTGTCTTTTCAGATTGCCAGTGGGCAATCTGGGGAGGCTCCTCGAGATGGTTATTTTGGAAGGACCCTCGAAGCAGGGGTCTGATTCTTTCATGATTGTTTCTGTTTTGTTTTCCAGGCAGCAGAAGGGAGCCGTCTGTTAAAGGGGCAGCTCTGAGGGCCAGGGCAGATGTCCAAAGATACTCTGGACATTGTACAATTAAACCATTAAGGCCCTCTGGCCACGGCTCTCCACTAAGCCAGGACCTCAATGCTACCAAATTGTCAGAGATCATTTACAGCAGTAACTGCCATTTCACCACAGACTGTCTTTTTCGTTTTCATATAGAGAGAGACTGATTTGGTATTTTTGCCTCCGACTACATATAATCCTCAGTTGTGGTTGGGTGCTGCCAACAGCCACCCGGATAACCAGAAAATAGGGTGCCACAGCCTCCAAGCCAAGGCAAAAGGTATCCACTTAACAGGGATTTACAGAGCAATGTACTCAGCTAAACAAGATGAAGATACAAAAATGGTTATTTCTCTACATCTATTCTGAAATGGCCTACACCCTACCCTACTACAATGAAAACTAAAAAGAACAGATTTAAGCTGGCAGACTAGCTAATAGTTTTACCAGAAGATTGTGGCTTAGGACCTTGTTGAAGTTAAGCATTAGTATCCTCTATCGGAAGGTCATGAAGTCTTAACACATTGTGCCAGATTTTTACCCACAGCCCAACTCACCCCTTAGTCTTTAAATTTCCTGCGGGGGTGTTTGCCATGAAAGTAAACTTAAATTGATGGGCAAAATTTGCTTTCGCTGGATTGGGGGATGCAGGGTGGGGTATGGGGAGTATTAAAAATAAAATTTAAAGGCAGCTGAACAATTTGAATTTCAAAACATGGAATCGGCACCCTGCAATGGTATTTAGAGATCGGTGGTATTAATGAGGATGATAATGATTTAATCAGGATAATTATACTTTCAGGCTCAACATCCTTCTTAATCATTTTTGAATTTCTGCCTAGTGAAATGTTCCACACCCGTTTTAAGAGGAAATGCCAAGTAATAAGAGATAATTGTGTCTTGGGGGAAGGGGTGCCGTTTCAGGGAGGGATCATCCAACACAAACCCCCCATCCCTCTTCTTCCTCAAGCAACCACTCCTCCCACCCCAAACCCAGCTAGGCTGGCCCGAGATAGGGGATACTGCCGCTTAAATAGCAATGCCTTCCTCAGATGGAGACAGGAAATGGTTAAGAGGGGTGTCACAATACAGCTAAATGCGGAGCAGAAGGGCCACAGAGCACACAGCCGCGAGTTGACCATTCACTGAGCTACACAATGAAGAAAAAAAAAAGATTTGATAAATGCAGAATGTCATCATTCTATCATCACACACATAAATAAAAATTAAAAAATAATAATAAAATAATAAAAAAAAAAGAACCTGCAGTTCCAACAACCCTATGGAGGGGCCAACCTTCCCTGTGGGTCCTGGAGAGGCGTGGGAGCAGGGATGGCTGGGATGGGTGGAGGGTTGGGCTTCCCTGGCCTGGCCCCATGGGGCCTCCTTGGGCGCACTAAAGCGCTGGCCCTACGACCCCCCCACTCCCAACTCGGAGGGGCGGCCCCAGTGGGCCCCGGGAAGACAGCAGCCTGTGTGTGAGAGCGCGGGGAGGGGTGGGCTCTAGCCAGCCGGGATCTAAGCAGACGTGGAGTGGGAGAGGATAGAAGAAGAAACATTTCCAAGGAGAGAAATGTGAGTCCAGAGGCAAAATTTAAATTTAAAAAAAAATGAATCTAAATGCATCTGGGATTGACTTTGGGAATTTTTGATTCAAGGAAAAATGGAAGAAATGCGGGGTGGGGAGGGAGGGGAGGGACAGACAGCAGGCTATTGTTGCCGCAGAATGTGAGGGAACCAAGGACTGTGCAAACACACCCCACAGGTCACAGCTCAAAACAAAGGCCGCGCCGGCCTGCTGCTGGCTCCACCACCTTCAGGGGCAGGGGCAGCGGCCGGGCCCGGGGCTGCGCGCCACACGGCGCCCGCCGGAGTCTCGCGGCGCGCGCGCACACTCGCGCACGGGCACACACGCGCGCGCGCGCGCGCACATTCACACTCACATACAGACACCACACCACACACACACACACACACACACACACAGAGGCATCTCAAACCCCTAACGCAACTGTCACAGCAAGACAACTGCGGGGGCAGGGGGAGCAGGGCCGCAGCACGAGGGCGGTGACACAAAAGGGGTGCAGAGGAGAAAAGGCCAGGGTAGGAGATGGTGCAAGAGCCCACGGGTGGGTGGGGGCTGGGGTATGGGACAGGGCAGATACCCAGGTCCCAGAAAGCCAGCCATTGGGGTTCATGGTCAACAGCAACAACAACAACAACAAAAAAAAAAAAAAAAAGCAAAGAAAGAAAGAAAAGAAAGAAAATGAAGAAATGCAAAACACATGTAACACAAAACACACATACTTAAAAAAAGAAAAAGCGAATTACGGAGAACCAAGAATACGTCTCTCTCTCTCTCTCTCTTTCTCTCTCTCTCTCTCTCTCACACACATACACACACACACAGTCTCGCATCTCCTTTCGTGCATTCAGGGCTAGGTATTAGGGGAAGGGGTTGGATTTGGGGGGAACCACGTCCGCAGCAAAGAATAAAAACGGGGACTGGGACGGGAGGGACCCGAATTCACCAAACCCTAACTTCACTACAAAAGCTCCCACGAGGGGCGGCCACCCCGACACTCGGGGGTCCCCCAAAAGGGGGTGGGGAGAAGCCACCGCTGGCCTCTGCGTCCTCGCGGGTGTGCCGTGAGCCCCCGGCCGCCCGCTGCACCCACCCCCCGCCCGGTGCCTGCGGCGATCCACGCTCCGAAGCAGACCCCGAAAGGAAAAAGCGATACCTCTGTTTCGCACAGAGCCAAACACTGGAAGCACGAGATAGCCAACGTGGACCAGGACCATCCTGGCTCCTCGCGCGGCGGCGGCGGCGGCGGCTGCGCGCGGGCCCTTTGTGGCGCGGCTCCGGGGCGCGGGCGCGGGCGGCGGCGGGGCTGCGGGAGCCGCCGGGGCGGGAGGCGGAGCGCGGGGCGCGGGCGGCGGCGGGGCGGCGGCTGGCGGGGAGACAGATGGCCCATGGAAATGCTCCCTTCCCGGCCCCTCTCGACATTCAAAGGCGCTGGGGCCGCAGCTGGCGCCACACAAAGGCGCGCGCAGCCAATGGGAGCGGAGCGCAGCGCGGCGCGGCCTCGCCGGAACCGCGGGGGACAGCAGGGACCGCGGGCGCGCGGGTGGCGGAGGGGGAGGGTGGAGAGAGGGGGAGAAGGAGGGATGCGGGCGACCAATGGCCGCGGCCCACTGCGGGGCGCTGGTGGGGGGGAGGACTCAGCCCCGCGGGACACGTGGAGCCCCGCACGGGTCCCGAGCGGCCGACCGGCTTGAGCGCGCGCACGCAAGGCGCCCCTGCACACAGAGCCGGGCGGCGTGCACATGGAACGTGCACACATGCAGAGAGCGACGTGCTCCCAGACATGTGGAGGTGCGTCCGTTAATGCAGAAAGACGGGCACGAGCGCACCAAGTGCACACGACTCGGAGGTCTCTGCGCTCCGCGCGTGGGTCACCCGGGGGCGTGCGCAGGGAGGCTTGCGCACGTGCAGAGCCTGACTGCGGGCGCAAGTGCGGCCGCCACAGAGCCCGCAGCGCGGCCCACAGGATCTGGGCGCAGTCCCACACTGCCTGGCAAGAGCGCATTCCCAAAAATGCACAGAGGGACGCACCATGCAGACGAGGTAACGCCTGCAGCCCCTGGGCTCCCTGCCTGGCCCACCCCACTGTTGCTTCCTGCAGAGTCCAAAGCTCATCTCATGGTCATTGTTGCCTTAAGAGCCACTGAGACCTTAAGAGGTCCACACCACCTCTACCGAAAGGTACACTCCAGTAAAACCCAGGCTGCCCCTCCACCATTCGCTGCGGCCACGCGAGCACAGCCAGCCATGTGCACAGACACGCCCACTTCACAGTCTCCGGCAGATGTGTGACATCCGAGGCTCCTGCGGATTCTCACGTAGAGGCTCAGCCGCCGTGTCACGCGTGGCCAAGGCGGGCTGGCCCATCTCTCGCAAGACAGAAGCAAAGCGCCTCCTCTCTCAAAGTCCTGTTGTAACTGAGACGACCGTTTGTGTAGTCCATCTGCTGTGAGGGCTTAACACACCCCCTCAGACCTGGCTCCCATGTCCATATCAAGATTAGAAGCTGGGCTCATCCTCGATTTACAAGGTGTGGGGGGGGGGGGGGGGGGGGAGATGGAACAGAGAGCAAGGCGGTGGAGGCGGGGAGAGGGAGGGACAGAAAAGACGCTGGCTCCCTGGGGACTTCTCTTCAAACCCAGGGGCTCTTAGGTTGACCCACTCTGGTATAACTTAACTGAGTGGTGAAACCACACCAGGAATGAAATGCAACCCAGCCTGCCCTGGACTCAGAGTCAAGGGCAACTGTCAAGTCCTTTGATACACCCCATGCTGAAGTCAGGGCATCCAAACCCTGGTCCCTGCAGCCCGTTGGTGTCTCACAGAGCTCCCTAGTGCAAAGCAGAACAGTGGCCTGGGAGGCTGGGGACACTGGGGAGGCTGGGGAAACGAGGCACCTAGGGATGGGGATGGGGTGACCCTCTCCTTTTTTCTTAAAGGCGGAGAGATGGAGATCTTGCATCCACTGATTCACCACTGCCCTGAAGTCCACAACAGCCAGGCCTGGACCAGACCCAAGCCAAGAGCTAGGAACTCATTCTAGGTCTCCCACATGAGTAGCAAGGACAGTCACCCTGAATCCATCATCTGCTGCCTGCCAGGATTCCTACCAGCAGGAAGCTGGGTCAGAAATGGAGTCACTGGGGTACTACTCTGAAATGGGGTGGCTTCCCAAGCAGGGGTTTCCCTGTTGAACCAAACATTGGCCCCCAGAGAAAGTGACTAGTAAGACTTTGAGATCTAAATAGCCTCCAGGAGAAATAGTGTGACAGGAAGGAGATGATGGCATTGGGAAAGCCATGCCTGCTCACCTGCTTCCAGCAGAATCCTCTCAACTCAGTCTTGTGGCTGTTTCAAGCCCCTGGGCTCCTCAGGGCCGAGTCCACTTCCCCAGCTTAGCCTCCTGGCCACCACCCACAGAGAACCGGGGGAGAAAAAACCCTCTCATCAACTTCACCCTCACACAACGACTTCAACCACCCCTGCCACCAGCTTGTCATTTACTCATTATCTGTGCAAGAAGCCTCATCCCTAATAACAATCTGAAAAAAAAAAAAAATGGAAAGACTAACAAATACCAAAATACTAGAATTTCTTCTTGTTCTCTTTCAGGCTTAGACAGTCTACCTGTATATTAGAGTTATCTTCACAACCTATATGTGCGTGTGTGTGTGTGTGTGCATATATATTAATCCTGCTTTTTAAATTTAACATTTTGTCAGAAACATGTTCCTATCCTTTTACGCGGTCTTTGTAATTATCGTGTTAAATGTTTTCACAGCATTCCAACAAATTAATGTCTTGTGAAATTACTTAATCATATGTTATTCTAGGACACTTAATTTGCTCCCTTTTTTATTATTACACATCATACAATAAACTGCTTGACGCTTTAATTGGACTTGAATACATTTCTAGGATTGGCATTCTGCAGACAGCAAATACGGAGCACTTTATGGCTCTTGCCGTGAACTGCTCTCTAGAAAGAGGTGGCAGCCAGCAGCAGACGGTGAGCCAATAGCTCTGCAAGCACGTTAGCTTTGGGGAATGTCCTTTTGCTCATCTTACCTTGCACCAGAACAGTTCGTGAAGGTTCCTGACTGCCTCATCTGACCTTGAAGAACAATAGTTAGGGTACAAACCCTGAGATCAGATTCCCTAGCTTCATAGTCCGACTCCGATGCTTACACGCTTGGGCAAAGCTAGTCCACTGTCCTAGGCCTTGGTTTCATATTTGCAGAATGGGCCTGATGATAGCAATCTTCCTCAATAGGATTAAGGAGAGGAGCAAAGGAGTTCAAATGTCTGGGGTACACAGCTTGTGCCTGGCCACTCAGCTCTCAGTTCCTTCCGTTTCCTTGTCCATCTCTGCTTGCCCACCACTTCTTTGCCTCCTGCTACCACTTGTGAATCCCTGCTTGATGCATGGAGTGTAAACTACTCTCTAAAACAGAACATCCATTTAGCAGAAGTCATCAAAGATAAGACCAGTAAAGTCAGCCTGTGGTCATGAATCCACCTAATAATTGCACCCTTCATATTCACGTAGCTGAGAAATTTGACACATGCCCACATTGCCCAATACACCAATATCCATCCACAGACATAAACCTCCTGCTAGTAAGCACACATTGTAGCTTAGAAGGGAGAGTTCCCCAGCCTCAACATATCCACCTCTCTAATGGGAATATTAATACCACCTGCCAAAACTTTTCAAGCGTTTATCATGAAGGCTAATGAAGGTAACTGCAGAATTGTTATGCAAGAGAGTGTTCTAGAGGCACAAATGCAGTGGCGTCTTTCAGAGTGAAACCTCATAATTGCCTTGCCCAGCTCTTGTTTTAAAAGTGAAGAATTTGAGATTCAGCAGTAGGAATGTGAACAAAGTCCCAGTCATTGATGGCTGAGTTAGAACTGGAGTAGCTTAGACTTGCTCCTGCTTCCTATCTTTTCTCCACCCTCCTCGGATAACTGATTTCTTCTCCCCTCCCGTTAGCTAAAACCCAAATAAATACAACAGACTTGAAAAAAAAAATCCACTTACTGGGGGTTCTTCTGTGATCTCCATCCACTGCCAAAGTCAGTGTCTTATGCATGGTTGCAGGCTTCACATGGAATACCCAGGAGGAAGCCTACCAAAATGAACGACAAAGGTCAAGCTCTTTCTTGATTCAAAAAAATGGACAAGGACAACCCTGCCAGGCAGAAATGGCAGCGTCACACTGATCCCTGGCCCACCCTTTGCTTTCTGACGCTCTGTTGACTCCACCAAAGCCACCTCTTGCTGGGACGCAGGAGCACATCTGTTGGAGAACAACTGCTTGGGGCCCCAACCCCAGCCCCAGGCTCCGCGCACCACTGCCCTGTGGACACCAAGTTGGTCTCAATCTCATCTTCTTTTCTAAGACTGATGATAGGATGCCTGCTGGCTTCAAGTGCACACAGAGCTCAATGGCACAAAATAGCCATGCTTTTGTCGGTGTGCAGGCCGGGAGGTGAGGCGTGTGACCAAGCCCTGCAAAGAGAAATGGAGGTAGGAAGCTATAGAATGGGTGTCTTAGCAAATCTCATTTGGAAGATGCTAGGAAATGCTAAATAAAGACAAAGAATAAAACATGTGCCATTTTTCCTATGTAAGCTCTATTTCTTTAAAACAATGAAGGAGTTGATGAGAATAAATTTCTCTTGATAGAAGTGGCCCATGGTGACACACCCCTGTTCCCTTACAGCTGTGGGCCAGGCAGCTCTGCTCCTCCTCAGGCAGGTCCACATGTTGCTGGGGTGACTGCCACTCCATGAGTCTCTGTTTTCTCTGTGGCACTCTGAGACCTGGCCTTCCCCAGCAGTGGAAAGTGGATACCTGCCAAACCTAGAAAAGCTTACGCAGAGCTTCAAAATGGCTTAGGGAGCCAATACCTTCATTCTGTTGTAGCTCAGCTAACCTGCTGGTTTTGTGTGTGACTGGCTAACAATGAACACTGGGTATTAGCATTGCCTGACTCCTCCTGGAGCTGGATTCTGAGTCCTTAAGAGAAGAAGCATGGTTTGTAGCTGTAGTATCTGCTGGACTCAGGTGCTGTGGCTCACTCCAGTGTCCTGAGGCCTGCTCATCTGGTGCTCATGCTTTACCCAAGACAAAGATGCAGAATCTACATCTGGCGACACACCTGGGACATACCTCCTGGCCCCCGTCCCACTCTATGAGACTCTTGCTCCT